AAGTCTGATTACTTTGGCATGTGAGCCCATTAAAGGCTCAAAAAATAAATAACAATTAGCTAAAATCTTGAAATGAGCAAAGAAAATATATTGAGAATTTATGGACGGATTTCATGTCACTTGTATTAAAATGCTCTTGCTGTGTTGAGATAAGCAGAAAGAATAAAATAGTTATTTAAAGGAGTGACAAACTGAACTTTTGTGTGAGTTGTCCCCAGGAACCTGTTTTTTAAAAATGACTTTTAGGAGGTGAGACAAATTCTGACCCTTGGTTCTTCATGTGAGAAGTAACTTGTCATTTTTTTTTAAAATTTAACAAATACTCTCTGAATATCTACTATACACTGGACTTATTCTAGAAATTCTGGTAATACAGGACAAGTGAGAAAATAAAATAGAAAGATTGGAAGGACAACACAGCGGGTTCTACTGTAGTTTCCTGAGCTTTTAGAAAAGATGCACTGAAAAGATGAGAGTGAATATAGTCATTCAGCATGTGTGACACTGAGTCACAGAAAATAGGAAGTCACAGAAAATAGGTCATGAACCTGGGGGAAAATATTCAGGACAGATGGACTAGCAGACACACTGGGGGGAAACACTCTTGCCAAATTCAGGGAGTAGCAGGGAAGTCAGTGAGCCTGGAGTGGAGCGATTGAGGTAGACTGAGGTAGGACAAGAGGCTGGAAAGGTCAAGGGAAATAGCTTGATTAGGGTCTCAGAGGTCACTGGTATGGCTTTCATTTGAAAAGCCAGGTGAATTTTTCCCTAAGGCTGTGAAGAAAGCAATGACAAATCCTTGCTTTCTAAGGAACAAACTGACTGTTCAGTTACCAAGAGATTATGAAGAACTTAGGGAAGAACCAACAGCAGGCAACTGAGGTAAGGATAATCATAGCTTGAACCAGCACTGGTTGTGCTGGTGGTGGCAAATGGTGGGGTTCTGGCTTTAGTTTGAAAGCAGATGGATAGAATTGGTGGATAACATGGACGCAGTTTCCAGCTGAAGGAGAGGGGTCAAAATGATTGTAAAGATGTTAGCCTCTTTAGAAGGCAGGAAATGCTGTGTACTGGGATGAAAAAGATGGAAAAACATTCAAGTTTAAGGGAACGGGCATCAGAAGTTTGATTTGATACATTATTACCTTTGAGGTACTTAGTAAATTTCTACTGGAGTTGTAATCAGTTCTATACACAACTCTGGATTTTAGACGGAAGTTCCTTTTTTTTGTATTTTTTTGAAAGAAAAAGTTATTTATTTCAAATATGTAAGCAGCTTCTCAGATCTAAACTTCTAAGAAGGTTTAGGAAACATGAAGGTAGCTGATCTCCACCGATGTGGAAAGATTTCCAAGCATCTACAAAGAGGTACCCAGTACACTCAAGTTCCAATGACAGTAATTTAAGACTTACTTAAATAATATATTTTTCAAAAAATAATATTTAGGATGCATTTATCATTGTGCAGTTTCAAGGATCAATATATTATCATCATTTTAAAGAAACATACAAAAGTAATTTTTCCAAAATGTACCCATTACATGAATGTCCAATAATTACTATTTCAAAGGTCTCTGCTGCTATATATGTTTTAAAAATTTTAAACACTATTTTATTAATAAACATTTTTTAAATTAATTTATTGAGAAACAAATATCATGCTTGTCATTCTGGTGTTCTAAATATGTACTGCTTGTCATGTCATGCCAATTACTGCTATACTGCCTCTCAAGTAAATGTTTGTTTAAAAAAAGGGTAATAAATGAAAACAAGAGACAAGAAAAAGAATGTCACAGGACTGTCCTGCTACAATGCTATACATGGTTAGATTTCTAAATTTCTGTGTAAAAGTATGCAATTGTGCATTCCTATTTTTTAAAATATTTTTTTTTCTTTTTCTCTTTTTTTTCTTCACATTCTGTAGGGATTTAAAGTTTAACATATCAATACTTGATGGGAAATACCTGTTCCTTGTTATGTCTAAGATGTTTGATATTCAGACAGATAGTGAGGTTAAGCTCAACTGCCTATGTTATAGGGTAATAATATCATTAAGCTTCTCTTCTGGAGGGTTAACAACTGAAGTTTGCACACCAAAAATCAGAGAAAAAGAAGGGCTGCAAGGACAGCCAACATTTTGGCCCCAGCCTGTTGAGATCAATAAGGACTGAGGACATAGGAGAACCTGTACAGTAACATCCTGTAACTCAGTTGTGTCCCAAATTTTCTGATTCAGGAGATTATGGGGCCACAGAGGAAAGTGATTGATGATGTAGAGTGTCCCTAAGGAGAGTCACCTAGAGAGAAAATATTCTCTCAGGCTTTCACAGAGAGCAAATTGGTCAGGCAGTGGCCGTGACTCATCCACATGGCTGACACTGACAAAGGATCTACAAACTGCAGTACAGGGTTTCAGGATAAATCCTGAGGGGATTTGACTGACCTTGTCAGATACAAAAGTTACATTTCTTGTTATATAGGTCTTGCTTTATCTTGGTCTTAACTATCCAGCAGAAAAGTATAAAAATAAGGCATAAAAAGTAAAGCCATATTAATATGCTGAGCTGTAAAAGGCTCAAGTCAACAACTTCTGACATTGCCAGTCCTACAGAAAACCCGCTACTATTATGGACTACTAGACTATATAAGATTATTTTGCTGAATTAGTGCACCTGTAATATTTAAATGGCAGTGGAATATCCATCTCTGACAAAACTAAATATAAAATGGGGATACAATTGAAGGACCATTTGTATCTGTATAGACAAAATAGTCAGGATAGCTATAAAGCTACTTTCTCTTAATTCAATGAGAAAAAAGATTTGTACTAATAGCGTTTGGACAGGATATCATGTCTGCTTCTTGTACTATGAATAATCACTACAAAGACAACAATACGCAATGTATTAATTATTGAAACAGTCCTACTAATCGGTTTTAGGGGGAAATTCTGACCTGGGGTTATAGACAGGGAGCAACGTGAAACATAAGCAATATTTAAAGCCATAAATCTAGGCTGAAAGCGATAAGTCTAAATCTGCATTTTGGACTCTCAATCCCTCAGTGTCCAATGACTGGGGAAAGAGAAGAAGCATGAGGTAGCCTAAGAAGTCAGACAACAAGGACTAGAGCATCTTTAACATTTTTCAGAGGGCATTGGTAGTCTATGGGCTCAAATGAACCTGCTTTTTAGATTTGCAAACTTTTTTCTAGGATCCACCTGATCATTTGCCATTTACCTATAACTACTTTATGTCAGTATTGCGCTGTAGCTCTTTCTTCTCTTTCTCATTCACTTCCTGTCCTTCAGGAATTGCCTTCCGCTCACTTTGAGTATACTTATTGGTAGTACAACTTCATCTGAGTTTATAATGCTTTTTTTGAAAACTGTTGAAAGTAATTTGGGGAATCATTTGGTGAATGAAATGGGTGATCAGATTTCTTAATACTGCTTTTGACCAAGGATTTAGCATGACTGTCCAATAGCACCAGATTTGCTATGGTTTTTATGCACAATTTCAATAAGTATCCTGTAGGATGCTCTGGGTAATGACATTACTGACACAACATGTAATTTCTAAGGCGAGTGCTTTCAAGACTACCATATAACATATATTGATCATTTAATAATATTTCTTAATATTGTATTTAAGCGTGCATATGTATAGATCACTGGTGGCAAACCTACAACGTACATGCTTCCAAGGACTGTTTTTATCACTGAAAGCTCTAGAAGATTCACTATCACTGATACAGTGGATGCCTGAAATCTATAAGCACTCATGTGGCCAAAATATTGACTGAATCCTCCTTTAGCAATTTAAAAGTCTCCTAACTGCTATTTTCACTTAGGATGGCTATCAGAAACAATGGAAAATGATTATTTTAATGACTAAATATTTACAAACATTTGAACAATCCTTGCACAGATATCAGAAAAGTTGCTTACTGTGAACACCACCGAGTTAGCAGCAAACATCTTTCCATGTCTGGCTAATTCTCACTTTATGATGGATGAAGCCCTTGAAAATTATGCCAATTATTTGTTTATTGAACAAATATTTACTAAGGTTTAGTGCACACCAGATGCATATCGTGTGGAGAAGAGTTTGTTCCTTTAGTTCTTTCCAAATGCATCCTGAGAGATTTACATGCATAAACAAGACAGCCAATATTGTGATACTAAGTTTCTCCATATCTGATGGACCCTCCTGCTATGTGTAATACCAGTTTTGACTGAAGTCCAGAAAGGCTGGAGGAGCTGGTAAATTGTAGTTATCCTTCATTGCCTCCAGATTCACACTGCCAGTCATTCACCCTGTGACACAGAAGGCTATCTCGCCTTCATAGTGACTGTTTTCACTGATTGTCTTTGCTGTGACTAAAACCCTAATCAAGTGGACTTTATTAGAGCATGTATTTACCCCTTACAGACTAACTACAGGTTTGGTTCCAGGTCCTGAGAATGCAGAGATGTGGTTCCTAGTCTCAAGAATTATAAAACTTTCAAGGAGAAAAATAAACTTAAGCAATTACATGAAAACATGGTAACTAAGATGACTTTGTAAATTCAAGGTACAATAAAAACTTGGTTGGGGGTGGACACTCAGGCCTGTTGGTTTCACAGAGAAGTTGCTGTCCAAGACAGCATAACTCCTCCTCCAATCTCAATAGGATAAGAAGGATCCAGGTATTTTTTCCCCCCTTTAGCTATTCATTCTTGATTTCTCAGAGACCATTCGCTCATTTTTTTCTGACAGTTCATTTTGAGTAAAGTCCAATTTTCATTCTGGGCCTTTCACTGTAAAATATCTCATAGTTTTTACCCTAAGGATCACCATCACACAGGGACAAAAACACTATAATTGGCTCATTGTTCCTCACTTAAGCTTGGTTTCTAGACTCATTCCTCTTACTAATGTTGACACTAATTGCCCAAAGGAGCCAAGTAATTTCTAAACATGAGATTAGATGTTTCTTATTATATATAATAAACTTACAATGTTTTTCATGTGTTTCACCAGTATGGTCAGCTTTGCATCCTGATATGATATCACTAACTGCACCTTAGGGTTCTTGTCTGAAGACGTCTCACCTGATAAAATAAAAATTTCAGGAAATTCACATTAAGTAGTTCAAAGTATACATTACACATTTAGAAATTAAAATAGAGCCAATGCATAGTAGGTAAAAGAAACATCTTAGGTTGAGACAGTAATACTGATCGGGAGTTGGGGTTGTTGCTTAGATAGAAGTAGGATCGGACTGATCTTTGTAAGCTTTCTCTTCTTCCTACTCTTCTATGTTTAGTTTTGAAAGATAGTCATTATTTTTTATGATTATTTACACTCTTAGTCCCATTGTCCTTTCTGCTTCAATTTCTCTTTAATATTCAGTATATAAGCTTTTAGTATTAGAGGTTATGTAGCTTAAAGTTGTAGGCTTCAGATGTTACTAAATCTGGATTCAAGTCCCAGTAGCTCTTCTTAGGCCCTGTCATCACAGGTAAGTTAGTTACCTTTCTGTAGAATGGAAGTAGGGGCTGCGGCTGGATAGTAAAATTCAAAAGCTGTCACCTACCAAGCACTCATCAATATTTGTAATTATTAATATTCTTTAAATAGTTACACTCTCAACTTTTTCTCAAAA